GAATGATTTAACGGTGCATAACACTTGTTCAGTGCTTGATCAGGGGTGATGTGGTGAGGATGTCACATTGTTTATGCATTTGGCACAATTGTCCATGAAAAGTCTGCCTGTGTTCTGCAGCCCTTTGTCAGAAATAATTTCTTCAGCTGCACCAAACAGACTGAACACGGTGAGATAACAAGGTGTAGAGCTGGATGAACACAGCAGGCCAAGCAGCATCAGAAGAGCAGGAAGGCTGACGTTTCGGGCCTAGACCCTTCTTCAGAAAAATAGACTGAACACGGTGTTTAATTTGTCTACCATGGGCACACTTGAAGTGTCCTTTCCCTATCTGATAACTGGACATTTGTTGAAATAAATCAGTGACTAAGATGAAGCCATCTCCATTCATGATAACTAGATCAGTGCTGATTTTGGGCCAAGGGAATGATAAAATTCCACATGGATATAAATGTTCTCTACGTTGCTATGGCTGGTGGTTCTGACATGCCTCCCACATTCTCACTTAGTTTTCAATGTCACTGTTCATCCCTGGTAATAGACTGTATCACATGAAAGTCATCTCATCTGCTCTATGCCCATAAGTCCTTGGTGGAGTTGCATCAATACGCCCTGACAGAGAGCTTTTGGCATGAGTACTTGTTTACCTTTGAAAATGATGCCTCTTGAGATACTGAGCCCACCTCTATAAAGGCCAAAAACATCTGAGAGTGTCTGAGATCTCTCATCGAATCAGGCCACCTTTCAAAGATAACATCTCACTGTGCCTTTGGCTATGGGTTGTTAACTGGTTCGAGTTAATGTTGTCCAACAAACTGCAATAAATCGACTTTGAGAAAATCTTCTACCTCTATGTCCATGCTGTCAACATGCAGATCCAGTATAATGCTGCCATCCTTGCTCAGGTTTGGCAATCTACTTAGTGAATCGGAGGTATTTACATGGTGATGCACATGATGAATGATGCCAGTGCATTCTATGTCCTCAAGCTTGTATTTAAGCTTTTGCTGTAAGTGAACTCGACACTATCTGGGAGGGTCAATTGATGGAATTTTAAGTTCTTTGAAGTGCAATACAGCATCACATTGAAACTTCCTATGACTTTAAATCTATCCAAGTACAATTGTTGTTAATCCTAGACTGACTTAATGAGAATATTCTTCATCTCTTCTGCTACCATGGGTAGCTTGGCGATCTGTGGATAGTCACAGTTTTTCTGGTAGTTCTGCCAGTGCTGGTTGGTTTGTGGCAGAAGGTTCCAGCTGGCTAACATCTTACTGTGAACAACATTCATAATGTGAAAGCCCGTTTGTCCTCTGGTTGGATGTTATTCCACTCAGGGCCTTATCTTGAGTATTTTTGCTGTGAACGTGGTGTATGGCTTGCATAATTTTTTTCTGCTGCTTTTGACATACTGCTAAAACTGTCATCTGCTCAGTTTCTCCTGCTGTAGATTCAGGTTAGCTCTTAGAACCAGGTTTTTTGCACGGGGTGGGGGCCAGCATTCTTTAGTACAGCATATCTTACACAGAACCTGAACTATCGGACAGCTCAGCAGTGTGCCATGTATCACACTTATCACACAGTTTGCTTGATTTATGTGTCTGGCGGCAATGTTGGCAACACCTAATGCTTACAGATGCTGTGGTCTGGCTACAATAGCTTCACATTTCTGCCATCTGCTAGCAGTGAACAAATGCTATTTCTTCCACAAGAGGCCTTTTCAGAACACTTCAATAGGCGTTGAAGTAATCATCATCTCCTACATCCACTCTGACAGCTCAGTCTTGGAAAAATCATATTTGTTGCCCTTTTTATTGAGATTACTGACAAATTGATCTATTGATTCCTGTAGGATATCAATTATAAGCAATGAATTATAAAATTTATTCTTCTAGAAAATCAGCTTTGTGTAACTTTCCATAACGTTGTGGGATCTTTCTGGTCCTCCTGAAATAAGCCATTGGTTCAGTGTAACCCCTTGTTTCCAACTGCAATCAGTATTTTCTCAGATTGTGTATCTGGTTCCACAACAGCTTAGTCTATGAAGCAGAGCTTGTGATCTTCATTTAAAAAGTTTGAACTCAGATAGGATATTTGTGGCTTTCCTGTTCATGCTGTAGGATTTGGGATCCACCCTTATTCTGCTCCTTGCCTTTTTAAAACACTATTATTACTGTGGGACACCATATAAGACCCTTCAGCAGCATTTTTGCTGTGATTCACACTGTATTTTGTTTTGTGCACTACTTGTGTGCACTACATTAAGTGTGTCTTTTCTATTTTCCGTTCTAAAACTTGTTTCAAAATTTATTCTGTTGACTCTACAGTGTCCCGATTGCAAGCCAACTCTTTTTCCTTTGAGTTTGGATGCACTTTTCTGTTCAGTATGGATATGGTTCGCGACGACCTTTAAAGTTTAAATTGTCCATTCTTGAACAGTTATCTGGATGGCTTTGTCTGGCTCAAAGGTACTCTCAGTTTGTGAAAGAAACCTTCTTCTCTTCTGTTCTTTGCACTTCTGATTTTTGAACTCTGGGAACTTTTGTCTTCTGGAGTGCTTTTGAATCTTGCCTGCTACTTCTCCATGTCTTTAAGCTGTATTATCTCCTATTTTGTTTCAGTTTGGTTTTTAAAGAGAATAATCACCACTGCGTATCATGTAGTGATTGTTTGTTCTGTACATGTGTAATAGAATTAGGCTCTTGGATTCTAATTACCTGAAGACCTTTAAGAGCACAGGGTAACCTCTGGACACATCCTTGGCATAGGGTGCGGCAATGTAGAGTGACTGTGGCCTCTGGTCACATGATGACATCATGCCTTGACTCAACTGAATATGGAGCTCTTAACCACCAAGGCTCTTAAAGCAATAATACTATAATATTCCTCCAATGCAAGTATTCAGTGCGAAGCAATCAGATGTGTACATTCTCCTAGTTTTAATTAAGGTAACTGACCTGATGGTTTGTAACTGGCTGAGTATTTTAGTTACTTTTGTGTTTTAAGTGTGAACACTGTGGATTTGTGGGAAGCAGTACCACTGTGATGCCACTAGAGCTACTATGGTGGCTGCATTGGACCCCTGCCTCCTACTGAAATTTTCTCCCCAGCAAGTGTCCTGAACTATGGCATCAGACAGGCAAAACAGTCTCTGGGCTCCTGCTCCCAGTTACAAAAAACAATATTTATCCCTCTGACTACATTGTCCCATAGAGCCACATTATTCATTTAATTTTCATGCTTGATTGGCATCCATGGTGCTATGGCCATTTGGCTTATCAACCTTGCAGCCACACAAGCTGCAAGAATCTGGAACCTGTTGGACAATTGCAGGGGCCAAGACTCCGCAACTTTGACCTTGTCAATCTATTTACTTGCTACACTCACAGTCAAATTCTCCTGTCACTGGTGGTGTAATGGTAATGTCATTGGACTCATAATCCAAGGACCAAGCCTAACAGTCTGGGGACATGCATTCAAATACCAGTAAAGTTGTTAGTGGAATTCAAAGCTAGTTTCAGTAATGACTGCCGTGTTGATTTCCGTAAAAACCCATTTAATTCACTAGCACCCTTTAAGGAAGGAAATCTGCTGTTGTTACCTGGTCTGTGATTACATGTGAATTCAGACTCACAACAATGTGGTTGATACTTAACTGGCCTCCAAAAATCAGCGAGCAAGCCAGTTCAAAGCCATTAGAGATGGGCAATAATTGCTGGTCTTGCTCGATCGCCTCATGTCCCATGAATGAATAAAAACAAAGCATGACTGCCTTCTTTTACAAAGTGTCCAGGTAATTTTCTTCTTCGGTGATGCATCGCACTCTCTCTAATTTGACTGCAGCTTATTAACTCAGTCAAACTTCCTCAAATTGCAGACAAGATCCTACATACTGCAGTCTCAACACATTTTCTCTTCTGGGTATATGTTAATCAATTAATTTTTCCTTGTTTATAATTATACATGCTATTACCATAATAATATTTACTTCTGTAAGTAAATCTTATTACTATTAATAAAACCTTTCAATTACTAATAAATTATGAGTTTCAGAGATAAAGGAGAAAAAATACTAACCAACCAATCACATGTTTCCTTGTGAGGGTACTCAGAACTTGGTCTGTGAACAAAAGTAAGGAGTTCAAAGTGGAGGAGAAAGGACAATGGTCATTTAGGAGCATATTCTTTGGAACCTCCAAAGGGTCAATGTTTAGAGTGAGAAGGAGAAGAAGAAACAGAATTAAAAGAATTGAAGACAAAGTAAGCAAGAAGAAAGAGTAGAAAAGAAATCAGATAATGATCAGAGGCAGAGACATAGAAGAGTTTATATTTGCTAACTTAATGTTGGAAATGCCATATGAAATAGATTATGTGAATAACAAATTTTCCAATGAAGCTTCAGTTTCCTAGTTTTACTTTGAAAGATTTAAAGCAGGGTTTGGTGTTATATTCAGTTGCTCAGAAACAAGACAAGGCATCAGGTAAATCTTGGAGCTCTCTTTTCTGAATCGTCCTGGATTTCAATATTGCTGAAGTAAGCTGTGTAAGTTATCTAAACTGCAGAAGTCAAAGTGTGTAGAACATGTAGAACAAAGAAAAATAAATCCCAAAATGTAAATGGACATATATTGCAGTTGGTATGATGCTGCTTTATATGGTAAATCTATTTTTAAATTTATTTTCTGCAGCACCAAGGCTGGATAAGTTCAACATTGACCAGAAATATGTTTCTGAAGATTATACAATAAAGGTTTTTTCTCACAATGTGAATTACTTACAGATGTTGTGAGTAATTTGTCAGACCCTAGTCTAGGGTCTTAATCACAACCACTCAACAGCCAGTCATGCTAATTACTAATTAAATCTTATTGCATGGGATTCTACCTGCTCTATTGACAAAAAAAGAGACCTTTCAAGAAAAAAGAAGGATAGCATCATCCAGCAGTTTATTCGACACCGGGGCTAAATTCCGCTTTTTCAATGAAATCAATACTGACCCCAGAATACAGTTGTTGGATTCTGCAGCCCCTCATGTTCCACGTGACAGGAATACATGTCTCCAGGATTCGGGATGAAGCTCAGGTATGTGAATCTCTGGTAGGAATAATCCTGTTTCATATAGAACTCCGTAATGTTGACTCCGTCAGTCACTGGCTCACTGTTCCTCAACAATGTCATGCTGATGTGTGGAGGGTAGAATCTATCAGCCAGACAGATCAATGTGTTGGGCTGCCCCCATTCAACAGGCTCTTCAGGATACATGGCAATCTGAGGGGCAACTGTGGAGAGACACAGCACATAGCAATGGGTACAATTAACCAATGTGGAAAATGTTAAAGAGCAACTACCATATAACTAATTCCTAATCATTAGCAGACTATCAGTTCACATTTATATAGCTCCTAATCTCATCCTCAGTATATTCTCAAGTCCTTTACATACAATGAATGGCACGGTGGCTCAGTGGTCAGCACTGCTGCCTCACAGCGCCAGGGACCCAGGTTTGATCCCAACTGTCTGTGTGGAGTTTGCACATTCTCCCTGTGTCTGCTTGGTTTTCCTCCGGGTGCTCCAGTTTCTTCCCACAGTCCAAAGATGTGCAGGTTAGATGGATTAGCCATGCTAAATTGTCTGTAGTGTTCAGGGATGTGTAGATTAGGTGGGTTATGCAGTACGTGTTTGGGTGGGATGTTCTGAGTGTCAGAGTGGACTTGTTGGGCCAAATGGCCTGTTTCCACACTGTAGGGATTCTATGGAATTCCTTTGTATACACAGCAAAATCCAGAAAACAGCCAATGAAACAAAAGTCAATCTCCTTGGTACCAAATGATCTTAATTGGAGCAAAACCTTAACTGAGAAAATGATCTACTCTTTTTTCAGGAGCTCTGTAGGTCCTTTGATAACCACCTTTGATGACAGATGCAACCTCAATTTAAAATTACAAAGAACGACAGTACCTCAAAATGTCTGTCCCATACTGATGTTAGTTGCTGTCAAGGTGTGTGTAATACGTAAAGGTCACATTTATTGTCCATCCCTAGTTACCAAGGTAAGATGTTGTTTTGGGAGGGAGTGGCGCGGGGTGGCGCAAAAGCAATGTAAAAGCTCCTGGTAGGACCATGCAGGCTCCCTACATTTGTTGGTTAGCTACCCAACTGATATAGAATATTAAAGACATCACAGGACAAAGTTCCCTACAGTAGATGTGAAACCTTGACAAAACTTTACTCGGATGCAGCCACCAAAATTAGCAAAACATATCATTTCAACTGGCTTCAGTCAACCACAAGTAAACTACAAAACTGCTCAACTGTTCCTTACCTGACTTTAAGAATAAACAATCTGCACACCAAGTTTATTAATTAAACAAAAATTAACAATTTATTATGAATAATGCAACTTTAGCAAAACACAGAAGAACTACTAGGTAACTTAATTTAATATCTTCAATCACCAACTCCAACTCACATACTGACAGACAGACAAACAGTGATAATTATACAGGGGACTTTTTTTAAATAAAAGAACTGTAAGTTGCCAGTTAGGTAACCATTTCAATGAAGAATACGAGGCCTTCATGAAATGGAATGGTTTGTATTACAGGCACATAGGATTGTATCTTGCTTAAATTCTGAGATCATTGGTCAACGCAAATAGCTTTACAGACCTTACTTAATTCTTACATGCTGCGGTTCTTAGGACTTTCAACAAATCGATAACTGGAGAATAACTAGAAAGAGCAAAACCAAATACAAAAACAGTCTTGTAGCTTCCAAAGCAACTCTGCGCCCTGCTCCAAATCCCCAGTCAGACCCAGTTCTCCTTTTGGATTCTCTTTTCTTCCAACATTTTCTATGCTTGGCTGGCCAGTACCAGTCCTCCCTTGATTGACCAATTAAACATCCAACTAGCTTCCAGTCCTTGATGATAACAATATCTCGATGTTGAATAGATTATAGTGCTTTTTTTGAGCAGTAATTAACATACATTACCTTTCCAGGCTATTTCCCAACAGAAAATATCAGTTTTTTGTTCTCTCTTTTTTAAAAATAAGCTACTGTTCGAAGTTAAAATTTAACTCTCAACTGCAACTCACAATTCCAAACAAAATGAGAAAAATAAAAGAAAAATAATAGTGGTCTCAACACATTATAGAACCATCAGAATGCTTTCAGTACTGTATTTTGTATACAATTTTTTACTATGAAATGGGGAATGCTTGAATAAATAACGTTGTATGTGTACAGAAACATGTGATGATAGGGTTTGACATTGGTGATCACCGTATGGTATCAACATTCTCCATTTTGCACACAAATGAGAAGAATTCTCCGCCTTCTCCACTTAGCACACAGAAACACATAATTGTTACAGTGCAGAAGGAATCCATTCAGTCCATCAACTCCTCTTTGGCTCTTTGAACATTTTAACTTAATGCCATTCTTCTGCCTTTTTATTGTAACCCTGCACTTCATTCCTATTTGGATAAAGATATAGGACCCTCTTGGCAGCATATTGGAGGATCTCCTTGTGGGTCTGCTTCTGGGCCTGGCCGAGGTGGTTATTAATAGGTCCAGGCAGTGGGAAATGGAGGGGATCATAGTACATGGCTGTCTACTCCTTTTAAAGAAAACACTAATCAGCCCATGATGAGGTACTGTAACAAAAATAAATCAAATGCTGAATGGAGACCTACAGAACAGGAAAGGAAACTTATCAAATCAAATCAAATAACATTCTCCAGTGTGATAATGCACCCCAGCCCCGTGCTGCCCGCAGGTTTCTAGAGGTCTCTATGGTGGACACTGCAAGCTCCCTGTCAATCGACACCTCAGCATGGACATAACCTGAAAGAGGGGCAGGTACTTGGATTCTATGACCCCATATATGGTCCACTACCTGAATCCACCTTGGTCCAGAATGACATCTATGAGGAGGGTCTTCGATCTGCCCACCTACTTCCCTCCTTTCTCCCTGCACGGGATGCCCATAGAAAAGGAGCATGGAGCTGAAGTACAACGAAAAATTTAAAAACAATCCCTTTAAAAAAAAACTGAAAAGAGGCTGCAAATGAAACATTCAATATAAATATGAAAAACTGTCTCCCTGTGGTGACAAAATCTACATGTGGCCTAGCACCCTGTGAACTTATTCAGTTTACTATTGAATAGGACTGCTGAGTGCAGCACACTCCACCCCAGATTTCTGAAGGAAAAAGGAATAATCCCTTTGTAAAGGAGCCTCCACAGGGGATCTCACCAGAGGCTGTCTAAATTGATAGTTTTATTTTAAAACACACTCTTAAATGTCTTGATTAAATCTGACTCCACCACTTTCCACGGCAGTATGCTCCAGACACTAACAACTCACTTCACGAAAAGTTTCTCTCTTCCACCACATTTATTTCTTTTACAAACACTTCACTAGGTCTGTGCCCTCTGTATCTTGAAGCTCCCTGTCCTCAGCTAAAATTTCCCATGGAATCAGGACTCAAAACTACTTTCTTCCAAATCCCAAACTGGTTGTGATTTAATAAACAAGATCGGGTATTGGGAAGATAGAAAGTGAATTCAGGAATAGGGGCAGTGCACAAGGAACCATGGGTCAGGGAACAAGAGCAGCTCAAAAGCGGGTTGTTTATGTCAGGCAAAGATGCTGCCCCAGAAGAAATCCAGCTCCACAGTTTACTCTGACCAGATCCCACTCCACTCCAGACTCCAGCTCCATGTTTTCATTTATGTTGGGGATACTGAAGCAGTTACGTACCTTTCGGTTCCGGGGTCCCATGGGACAGGTTCTTCCAAACATTAAAATTGTTTTTCATGATGGCGATATTGGCTGAGATCCCCGCCTCTCCTCCCCGCATTACAATGTGCTGAAACTCGGGGATCCGGGCCACCTCCTTCTTCAGGTTGAAGTCCATGTATAAAACCTCATCTCCGTCCACCAACACATCAAAGTGTTTATTGGGACTGCGCTCCTGAACAAAATAGACCTGGGTTTCTCGGTGTAGATCTGTGTGTGTGTGAGAGAGAGAGGGAGAGGATTAGACAGGCCCCACACTGAGACAGTGACCCAGGGACAAAACATCATTTGATAAAAACAGCAATAAACAAACTGAAATATCGGGTGAAACCCACCTCCTGAGTTTTAATTTGGGCAATTCATAAATAGACCCTTTGTCCGGTGATAGTGAGTAAAGGGAATTCTTTGAGGCCTCGGAGCAGGGGTATTTGAACCTGGGGAGGCAGCAAAAGCCCCGTATCCTCTGACACAAGCTTCACAGGGCAGTCAGTGAATGGCCAGAGGGTACATTTACTGGCTGAGGCTGGTAGCAAGGGCTCCTGATGCTGGAGAAAGATCACCACAGGCTAAGTTGGAGCTGGGAGTCCCTGTTCATCACTGGCAACTTTGAAAACCCACCCAGAGTGCTGGCAGCTTGGAACCTATTTGTGGCCACCTGCCTATCATAAACATCTTGTTACATTACAGAGATCTTATAGGCCCCTTAACTGGCTTAATAAGCTATCTTCTGCTGCACTATAGTTACATGTTCTGAGGACAATCAAATAAAATGCTGTTTGATTTGGGAATATTGTGGGTGACGTCAATTTAGTCAACAGTTTATAATAATGATAATCCTCGTTTCTGCAGCAGTGATCTCCAATCATCTCGGATATCTCTTTCCGTTGGACAAAGATCTGCTCCACCAGAACCCTGTAGTGTGACTGCCACCCCACGTTGAAAGATCCCACAGATAGGCATCTTCCACCATCTGAAAATGAAGTTTGGGACTGGACCCTCATGGATAACCCCAGCAGTGAGACACCTGAATGTGCACTGGAGTTCCTGGACTTGGCATTGTCATTGCTGCCCAGAATGAGACATAGTGGGCAGGAGAAGGTTAGCTCAAAGAACAAGGTGGCAGGCACACCTTCTCCTGGAAAGGTACGCCAGAAGAAGAATGCTGACTCCATGGAGGTAGTGTTGTCTGATAAAAACAACTTGTTGACTGTCTCAGCAAGCCCCCACTCCATGTAGGATAAACAGATCCCTCATGATATGTTGGCTCACCCCAACCCAGAGGCAGTAATCAATGTTGGCCCCAATACTACAAGCAATGGACAAGGCCGAAGAGGAATTCCATTGCCAGAGTTGGGAGGAACAGAAACCTCTGAAAAGGTGCACTCCACAAGGAAGGCACAGCATTAGCAAACAGCAATGAAGTCCTCTTCCTGACAAAACTTCTAGAGCATGATCTGGTCAAAACATACACCTTATTTTGTCAGAGAGACAATACAAGACTTGATCCAATCATTTATATCTATACTTATCTCCAACATATCTGAGCAGAGGGGCACAAGGATGCATGCAGGATTTGCACCATGACAGGAGCTGACAACTGCTGGACCAACCATCCCCTAATTTATAGACTTCCATAGAACTGCTACAGTGTGGAATAGGGCCTTCAGCCCAGCAAGTCAACATCAACCCTCAGAGCATTCACCACTCCCATCCCCACCTAATCTACACATCCTAAACACTTTGTGCAATTTTAGCATGGCCAATCCATCTAACCTGCACATCTTTGGACTGTGGGAGGAAACCGGAGCACCCAGAGAAAACCCACGCAGACACAGTGAGAATGTGCAAACTCCACACAGACAGTCGCCCGAGGATGGAATCAAACCCAGGTCCCTGGCGCTGTGAGGCAGCAGTGCTAACCACTGAGCCACTGTGCCGCTCCAAATCTGGTTTACTATTGCCATCAGCCTGGCTCAAATACAGCAACAGCAGCAGCAGCAGAAAGACTGCTGCAGGAAATTCAGTGACGATGGAGTCAAGAACTTTCAAGACCTAGTCAGTCAGTGCCTCACAATTAATTTGATGATACTCAGTGAACAGGGACCACAATGTCCACTGGGCTTGGTCTGCCCTTGCAACCATCTGAAACAATGTTTGTGAGGAGACTCCCAAGTTTCTCTACCAGGAAACATTGAGGCTGGTTTGATGAGAATGAGCCAGAGATCCAGGAGCTACTAAGTCACAAAGCAGGCTGGTAGATCTCCGAGATACTGTAATTGTGACCATCTTCATGAGAGGACATAAGACCAATTGTGGTAAAACCACTGCAGCCTGCCACAGGGAAGGACATTGTAAAATCCTCCTCAATCACCTCCTCCCAGTGACTGAGGAACTCCTTCTGGAATCACAATGTGCACTGTGCGTGAATACAGTCTTCACAGAAAGACAAGTCTAAGAAAAGTGCAGAGAGCAGCAGCAACCTTTATACATGATAAAAATTGCAAGAACTGCGGATGCTGTAAATCAGGAGCAAAAACAGAAGTTGCTGGTAAAGCTCAGCAGGTCTGGCAGCATCTGTGAAGAAAAAAATCAGAGTTAACATTTTCAGGTCCGATGACCCTTCCTCAGAACAGTTCTTCTTTCACCTCCCAAAACCTTTCATCAAGGGACTATGGGGCATCCTCCTCAAATTTGATTACCTGCAGAAATTCATTACCACCCTCCATCTGTTGCACAACAGCATGAAAGGTGTTTGAACTTGTGTGGCAGGGGGATGGGAACCAAAGCAGATAGGATTAATAAAAAAAAACTGAAGCATACCTAAGGTCTAGGCAAGTAAAAACAGATAAAGTCCTTGAAGAGTATAGGAAAAGTAGGAAGGAGCTCAAACGGGGAGTTAGGAGAGCTAAAAGGGGCTATGAAATGTCCTTGGCCAGCAGGGTTAAAGAGAATCCCAAGGCAGTTCACTAATCTTATAGGAGCAAGATGGTAGCTAGGGAAAGAGTAGGCCCAGTCAAGGACAAAGGAGGGAACTTATGTATTGAGCCAGAGGAACTGGGTGAGATCCTTAATGAATGCTTTATTTCAGCAAAGAGTGGACCATGAGGGATGTTGAAGTTAGGGAAAGGTGTGTGAATATTCTCGGGCAGGTCAACATAATGAAGGAGGAAGTGTTGGGTATCTTAAAATACATTAAGGTAGACAAGTCCCAAGGGCCAGATAGGATCTATCCCAGAATACTGTGGGCGGCAAGGGAGGAAATAACAGATATCTTTGGATCCTCTTTGGCCTCAGGCGAGGTTTCAGAGGACTGGAGAATGACCAATGTTATTCTGTTGTTTAAGTGATAACAGAGATAATCCAGGTAATTACAGGTCAGTGAGCCTGACATAAGTGGTTGGGAAGCTGTTGGAGAAGATATTGAGAGACAGGATTTATTCACATTTGGAAACAAATGGACTTGCTAGCAATAGGCAGCATCAGTTTGTGCGGGGAAGGTCATGTCGTACCAACTTGATTGAGATTTTTGAGGAAGTGATAAGAATGATTGAGAGAAGGGCAGTGGATGTTGTCTATGTGGACTTTAGTCAGTCATTCGATAAGGTATTTTATGGCAGGCTGGTAAAGAAGGTAGAGTCTCATGGGATTCAGAAAGAGCTGACTAGATGGATACAAAACTGGCTTAGTCATAGAAGACAGAGAGTAGCAGTGGAAGGGTGCTTTTCGGAATGGAAATCAGTAACGAGTGGTGTTCTGCAGGGCTCAGAGCTGGAACCTTTGCTGTTTGTAATACATATAAATGATCTGGAGGAAAATGTAGATGGTCTGATTAGTAAGTTTGCGGATGACACCAAAATTGGCAGAGTTGCAGATAGTGAAGAGGATTATCAAAGGATACAGTGGGAGGTGGATAGATGGCAGATTTGGGCAAAGAAATGGCAGATTACAAGTTAGCCAGGAAGGACCTAAAGAGAGAGCTAAGAAGAGCCAGGAGAGGACATGAGAAGTCTTTAGCAGGTAGGATCAAGGAAAACCCTAAAGCTTTCTATAGGTATGTCAGGAATAAAAGAATGACTAGAGTAAGATTAGGGCCAGTCAAGGACAGTAGTGGGAAGTTGTGCATGGAGTCCGAAGAGATAGCAGAGGCGCTAAATGAATATTTTTCGTCAGTATTCACACAGGAAAAAGACAATGTTGTCGAGAATACTGAGATACAGGCTATTAGACTAGACGGGATTGAGGTTCATAAGGAGGAGGTGTGAGCAATTCTGGAAGGTGTGAAAATAGATAAGTCCCCTGGGCCGGATGGGATTTATCCTAGGATTCTCTGGGAAGCTAGGGAGGAGATTACAGAGCCTTTGGCTTTGATCTTTATATTGTCATTGTCTACAGGAATAGTGCCAGAAGACTGGAGACTAGCAAATGTTGTCCCCTTGTTCAAGAAGGGGAGTAGAGACAACCCTGGTAATTATAGACCAGTGAGCCTTACTTCGGTTGTGGGTAAAGTGTTGGAAAGGATTATAAGAGATAGGATTTATAATCATCTAGAAAGGAATAATTTGATTAGGGATAGTCAACACGGTTTTGTGAAGGGTAGGTCGTGCCTCACAAACCTTATTGAGTTCTTTGAGAAGGTGACCAAACAGGTGGATGAGGGTAAAGCGGTTGATGTGGTGTATATGGATTTCAGTAAAGCATTTGATAAGGTTCCCCATGGTAGGCTATTGCAGAAAATACGGAGGCATGGGATTGAGGGTGATTTAGCGGTTTGGATCAGAAATTGGCTAGCTGTAAGAAGACAGAGGGTGGTGGTTGATGGGAAATGTTCATCCTGGAGTTCAGTTACTAGTGGTGTACCTCAAGGATCTGTTTTGGGGCCACTGCTGTTTGTCATTTTTATAAATGACCTGGATGAGGGCGTAGAAGGATGGGTTAGTAAATTTGCGGATAACACCGAAGTCGGTGGAGTTGTGGATAGTGCGGAAGGATGTTGTAGGTTACAGAGGGACATAGATAAGCTGCAGAGCTGGGCTGAGAGGTGGCAAATGGAGTTTAATGCGGAAAAGTGTGAGGTGATTCACTTTGGAAGGAGTAACAGGAATACAGAGTACTGGGCTAATGGTAAGATTCTTGATAGTGTGGATGAGCAGAGAGATCTCAGTGTCCATGTGCATAGATCACTGAAAGCTGCCACCCAGGTTGATAGGGTT